TGCTCAAAACTCAAAACTCGCTTACGCTCGTGCCTCGTGGTTCCATTTGAGTTTTGAGCATTTTTGACGTCAATTTCATTGTCAATATGAGTACAGACAATGGAAAACCGCCTGCGAATTGTTAAGTCGATATCGTTAAAGGTGTTACGGATGCATTTAAATTATTAAATTCAAAATTTCAAGTTCAATYTTTTCATTTTATAGATTTTTTGTCGAAATTATATAGACCATATCTAAACAAAGTCTGAGGCTTCATACAGATTTATGTCCACGGTATACTTGTCTAACAATCTTCGAGTTGTGTCGCCATTGGCGGCTTGAATAGGTATAGTATTGTGTACTACAGTAAACACCCGAAAATAAAAACCTAATGGATTAAGAACCTAAATGTTTTAAAATTGCAGCTAGGAAGAGTCATAATAAAAACTGAACAAAAGTATTTTTTTCACTAGCTTAAGTTTTTAATGAGAAGGCAGACGTTTCGGTTAGAACTCTGACCTTCCTCGGTGCGTTGTAACAAATGGTTTGCACGCGTAATTTAGCYGGTTGAAAAAGTATTTTAAATTAGCGCGCGCAGAAATTTGCCATTCTAATAACCCCTTGAATAAGAACCTCTTTAGCCAAATATTATCTAGCATCTTACAATATGGGCTAGAGCTAAATTACAGGATACAAACCATAACTTACTCAATTTGAAGATTGCTTAAGATTACTGGATTTATTTACAGTTGTTGAGTTCATTATTTACTTGTTACAGTAGTTGAAAGTTGCAGTTATACAATATTATAGTATTACATATAATTTTAGCCCATATTGAGCTTATATATTGTTCTTATGATGTATGTGCAAAACAATAACAACTGTATCTCCCTATTAGAATTAGAATTAAGAACCTGCTTTGCCAAAATTACTAGCAACTACCCCTTAAAACAAGAACCTTTTTTGTCAGACTTTCAAATAATAAGGCTCTTATTTTCAGGTGTTTACTGTATTTAACAGCTCTTTAATATATGCTTGCAATTTATGTGTACGTAATGTGTTTTTCGCATCCGTGTTTACTCAAAGATTTATAATTTTTGAWTCATGTCCTTCTGGATGATTATTTTCATAGGACTAAATTACATTCAATCAAGAAGATTTGGAAGACTCGAGATGAAGGCCTGTTGGTGAGAACTCACCAGGTCCTCCAAATAACAATGCAAGTTCAAATCAGAGTGTGAAGTTTAAGGCAAACCCCACTTCCAGGGCAGAAAAAAAGTTAAGGTATATTCCTGTTCCTAAAACAGACCGAGCTAAATTTCTGAATGAAAAAGTGTTAACATGCTTTTATGAATCTCAGTGGAAATTTTCAAAAAATGCAAGGACTTTTCAACAAAGTTTCCATTCAGAGGGTAGACGACAATATGATCATCATACTAAACTAGAAAGTATAAAGGAAAGCTTCAAGTTGTAGACAGAACGATTGCCAAAAGATAATGATATGAAGCCAACAGACCTGAAGAGTATACAATATTGATGTGAGCAACTTAAAATCTTTATGATTGGGAAAAAGTTCAGAATTTGAGAAATTCTTTTAAGTAGGATGATGCAAGTGCATTTACTAAACTCAAAAGTGGTCAACAATGTGCCCACAAATTTAACAAAATGCGTTTTAGAGCTCTCGAAAGCTTTGAAAAAATAATGAATAAAAGCTTGGCAAAAGTACAAACCCTTGAAAACAAACACAKGAGGATGTACCCAATGGCCAAAGGCAGTTCCTGCATCTAAAAAGAGGAGACAAAAAGAGAACAGAGCCAAATCAAGAAAGCGTCCAATGGAGAGTCAAGAGAAAAATTGTCATAGAGTGTTCACTTTAGCAGTAAACACYTTATCATATGGAGATGTAGTTACACCTGGTCATCTAAATAAAGAGGGCATATCAAAACTGGGAAAACATGAAATAAAATGGATGAAACTTTTATTTAGCAAAAATACGTTTTAAAAAGAAGCAAGATAAGTTTGGGATACTTTAAACCAATATTTAGAATTAGACAGTAGTAGCACAGATACGGATGATGATGCTTTCACTAGTGGTACTGACTAAATGTAAATGGTATTGCAATCTCCTGCATTTTTAAAATATTATTAAAATATGTAAATCAGTATGATTGTTGGTTCTTTTATTGATGTTTAGCTATATATAGTCAATATTATCAATGAAAACAATTGTATACATGTTTTGTTTTCGTTTGGCATATTCTTATGATATTTACATGAAAGTGTTTGTTGGCTACATGATGTTGTAAAAAAGATCAAGTTAGAAGTTAGAACTACTATTCTAACAATCGTTTATTTAAAGCAGCTAGAAAAATAAAAACGGTATTATTCACGACCCACCGTTTATCAATGGCTTGATATCGTTTGGCCCACCTTTTTTTGCATACATCAAAATGATTGCACATCCCCCCCTTTTTTGCGGCCCATCCCCTCCTGTACTTTAAGTCCAGTCCCTTACGAAGTAACAATCGTCATGAATAATGACAAGGAGGATATGAGTCCAARAGCTTTGACAGTTGTACCTCAATCCCTGTCCCATTCTCCAGAAGATGATAAAAGGTCTGGATACTCTATTGGAGAAACAATGGCATCTAAAAAAAGCARAACAATATCATATGGCTCCAAAAACGTATCAAAACATGTATTTCACTCAACCCATCTGCAGAGGCCTGAAAGCTTCCTTTTCGAGCAGTCTGGAAGTTACTTTGAATGACAAGCTGAAATACTTTAAATCGTTTTGCTGAATTGTTTTCACGTGCTTCTTTCAGTTCGTCTTATAGGTCATTTACACTGAAATTCAATTTTATTGCCATCAATATATTTTTAAAAAATCAATTTTCTTCCAAACTCCACTTGCATGAAGTTATCATCTGTATCYTGATTCAAAGCCACAATACTTAATTTAATATCAAATCTAACCTCTTTCTGCGAAAAAAGCTGGCAATAACGTTCATTTTAAAGATGAAAAGGACTGATCTAACAGGTTTTTGTTGTATTGTTTAAAACGCGCGCTGCCGGGCACTGGTCTTCGTTAAGCGGGAAAAATTACTTCGGGTTGGCGGACAAGTACAACAGTGTTCCCAACCAGAAAAGAGTTTAAATCTTATGAAAATGTTAACTTCATTAATCGTTGTTATTGATTTTAATCTTTTTCTTTTTTTTTCCTTTTTGTTTTGTATATTAAGGACCTAATTAACGAGATATCGAATGAGTAAAATGCTGCCATAACACCCCTCACTATTTGAAATAGTCCACAAGTATGGTGATACTAAATTATAATAGACGCTCTTCCTCTATGCTGACTGTCTTTGGTCACTGCAGTTTGTCGTTAACTTGTCAGGCAAAGTCATGCAAAAACATTTGAAACATTTTTTTTTCTGAAAAAAAAAAAACGAAATAAAAAGAAACCACGAAAAAATGTCAATATCGCAACTCTGTATTCGTAAGATTATCTCATTCCCTACGGTCAGTGATAAATTTGTCAATTTTGTAGTTTTTGTGTGTGTTAGACTTCCATAAATTGCTTAACTTCCAAATAAGGCGCTGTCAATCAAACTAATGTCAATTCAAATACCTGAGGAAATGCAACTTTCAATAACGTACGGCGAATTTGAGACACCTCGCTAGATTAGCCAGCACTCGAGCTCAATTCGCCAAAAAAAGGTTTATAAGTGCATTTTTTAAGTCATTTGCTGCCATAGAAGCCCGTAGGACTGCATCATTAAGCTCGACTAGGCGGCAAAGACGGCCTTCGGGAAGAAATCAGAGGTGGAAAGCGATTTTTCGAAGAAGACGGGAACAAACCGAAGGTCTCTTTCAATTGTTGTCGTTAGAGAAAGGTCGTTTCCCTAGTCATTCTGTGGCAGATTTCGGAACCTACCAAGGTAAATTTGGCAAGTTTTAACATCCAAAGAATGTAGTCGATGCAATATTTTGCCTGTAGGTGTGAGTAACTTGGCACTTATAAAAAAAGTACTAAAGTAAGGTTACTGGCCATTCCTTGTCTCATAGATGACAACATTCCCAGGGTGCACTTSYGTCGTGCATTCGAGAAATGCTAGTTTGTCGAGGTGGACGTCAAAGGGGCGGCCCTTGTTTTCCCAAATTTCGGAATTGAGCATCCACGTCAAGACAAAAGACTTATTCGACCAAAAAACTTGATTTCCGAGACATGCTTTTAATTGGAATATTGAACTTGTTGTCTTGTTGTCTTGTAAGAGCAAGTTTTTCAGAGGCATCTAGCCATTTTGGGAAATTATAATTTTTGGAGTCATCACTCCTGTGGTACTGATGATACCGATGGAAAAGGGTTAAACTCTTCTGGGAATACAGGGTTAGCGTCAACTCAGGGAAAATGTAATTGTATTTTTCTCTTTTGTAGTTTTCTTGTGGTCTCTTCTGTGTTTGGTAATTTCTTTGAATAAGAGAATCTGCCGTCAAATAAAACAGCGCTTATTCGCTTTGAATTCGAAAATGGAGCATTTAGACTTGAAATACTTGAGATATATAAAAGAAAACTTACAAATAAAATCATAAAAAAGCCATTCGTAATCGTAATTCTGAGAAATAAGCATCAATCCACATTTCCATACATGAACAAAAAAACGTTACGTGGTTTTTTGTTTGTTTGGTTTTCTTCTTTTTTTCATAATTGAGRTTATAAGTGAAATAATAGTCCCTGATTCTGTTCCATTTTCCTTCCTTATATGCGGCTTTGATATTGTTATTTTGGCAGTTTTGATTAAAAATTGTGGATCACATACATGGAATTCTGAAATACTCTTCTAAATACATTTGCTTCCACCAGAAATTGGCACACATCGTGTCACAACCAAGCATGGGACTTCATGCTTTGATTTGTGTCAAGAATAAAGTGTTCTTCTGTGTTGGAGTCATATACAGTTTAGCTTTACTTATTAAATCCTGCTAAGTTTAACGTATAACAGCGATTATTGTAATTGTAGGTTGTTTTTCTGCCGTGCAAGTGAGCATAAAAAGGTTGCCCTGTATACAATCTTTATTGATCCATCAAATGTAAATGAGTTTGCAGTGGGAGGTAGAGATCATTATGCAAGGTTGGTACTTTGATTTGATTTGATTATTAAATCGCTGCGACAATCGCTTGGCAATGTAAGATTTTAGATGCGCATGAGTAAAGTTGCGAATTCCTAGGAACACCAGGTTTTGAATTTTGAGGAGATGAAGTGACGGTTTTGGCGGCCGTCTTGGACGAGTAGGCAAAGTGTGGCAAAATAACCCGGTCTATCCCTGTTATCGCAAAATAACAGGGATAGACCGGGAAATCGATGTCAAATAATTCTCGCTGAATTCAAATTTGGAAAGAATTATCAATTCCAAACGTTAGATACTACAAAAAGGAGTTAAATGACCGAATTTGAAGGATGTAGTTTTCTAGGGAGTGAGTAAATGTTTGGTGTGCGGTTCGAGCCGAAATAAATGGAGCAAACTGACCATACGCGAAACACTGTACAATGCACTTTTGTCATCCCACATTGATAGTCCGGGAGCCAACTCTCAAAAGAGGCCTAAAAAAGGAGAAYCGTAGCACACCCCTCACATATTTGGTCTGATACCATAAATCAAAAATAGYGTCCTTGTKGATSATTTTTAGACACGATGTACTAAAGTATCGGTGGGCCTTCATTGTGTTTGGGCCTATTTTGTAAGTGCCAATATGTACCCCAAAAATAATGCCCCATATAGAACCATATTAAATAAATGAGCATATCAACCTGAAAAACCAATGAAATTAACTCAAACTCTTACAAAATGTTTCTTGTGAAACAAACTTTTATTTTACTATGGTTTTGATAGGTTTGAAGTTGTCATAGCAACCGTTGCTATGGATATTTGGCTTTGCAAGATACACTATTGCAGTTTTTTTAATAAAATAGCACATATTTTCAAAATATTTTCATTAAGTTTCAAATAATTAGGACATGCAGACCTACCACCGACATCTTGACTTGAATACAACACAATTTCGTGA